AAAGTCAATTCCTGAATCCTCTCAGTCTTGAGACACAGTCTCAAGAGGAGATATGGGACAGTGAAATCAGTGTTCGACGGTTATGCTTCGTCGGGAGACGGGCAAGAGATTCGTCGCTTGCCGCTCCGCGCGCGCGGCGATAGGCACGGCGTTCTTTTAACGAGTACGAGCTTGTTGACTGTAGCACCAGACTCGTTCTGGACTTAAAAACTAAAAACATTGCTACCCTCTGTTCTATACTGCCTGTTGTCACCATCTACGCCCTCTGATTATCATTTTTGAGCGCGACGTCCCGCGACGCCCATCAGCGCAAATTGCGATTCTCTTGTCACATACTCCCGACAGAACAGGTAACAGGTCTTGAAAGGAAATGGTTCACGCGAAGCCAATGAGAAAACGATGGCGATTTTCCGGTGATTTCAAATTTAACATGTGAAATCTACATTTTATCTAACCAATTCAACGGTGAACATTTATTATTGAACTTTAACAGACTTTAGTTTTGCACACATACTGCTTCATTTTCCTGTCGCATTCCGATATCGTTCCAGTATGAGATGTTATAGCGTTTCTGACCAGTATATTCTCACCCGGATATTCGTTGAGCAGCTGAATGTTTGGTCATTATTATCGACCAATATTAATTGAATTTTTTGGTGCTTTTAATGGATTTTTTCTATTTATAACAGTGAACATTAGTTTTACAAAGCGTAATAACCTGTACACAATGTTCTTTTTCGGAACCATTGTCAGGTTGCATATTGGCCCATCTCACATAATCGACCGGGCTTCCATCGGTCCAGGTCCATTCTTTGCTATTCGGATAGTCCTTTTGTCGTAGGCCGATCCATGTGTTTTCTGCCCAGTCGTCCACATCGCTCAGCGTTGTTGTGATTGCTAGATTTTTTGCAAATTTTAGAATGCTATAAAATTGAATGAGATGAAGTTCACACCAGGTCACTAGTGAACTCATTTTTATGGTAGTGAACCACAGATATTCACTCGAGCTCTCTTTGCGGCATACACCGAAGGCTGCAAGACTCTCCAGGATCGCCGCCATTGCGCGGTTAGTGGACCTTTCTTTGCAAAGCAAGGTGAGGCCGTCGGCTTGTGAGCGCCTTGTAACGGGGGAATACTTCGCCGACACGACAGCGCTGTAACCTTTCAGTTTTTTTTACACATTTCCCTTATAAGAGCATTACGAATGAATACCACAAGCTTCTATACATGAGGGCAGAATAGAGAAGGAAGGTCGTGGCACTCTTTTGGCTCCTAATTACTGATATTGGTAATTATTTTCGGCAATAATTGTACATGCGTTAGCTTAAGTGGTAAGCAGTTACTAGTCCGGCTGGCCACAAGTGTCTGGACGCAACAGGGCACGGCTATTTGCTTTTACCTCTACTTTACTTTTACTGCACAGGCTGATACTGTCCGCAAGATTCCAGTTTGAGGAGCCTGGAAAGCGACCCAGAGGACGTCCCGAACAACACTGGTTCAGTACTGTATAAACACTCGAAAACAAGAGAAATCCAAGCCAGTCGGATGGCTCGCCTTCGACGGACGATCCTCCTTGTGAGTAAATGAAAATTAGTTACAGATTTTTGATTGTGACCCCCATAAACCCATTTCATCCCCTAATCACTGCTATTCTCGTGTGTCTTGAGACGAAATTATCAACGTTTGCAGCGGGCACCACGATTCCGAGCACATCTCAGTCACTGGGAATGTCCCTACGTTTCTTCATCTGGTTTCCCGCTATCGCCCTTCACACATTATGACCCATCAGCCTTCGGGTTGCTCAGGATGCGTTTTGAAAATTTTTATCCTTGGCACCGTTCACTTCTGCGCACGCCCGCCCACTTGTGGGCCAGACCTAGATTACCTTGTATGTGCTCTGTAAATTTTGGCCCATGCCATCTCAAGCTTGATCCGTTCCCTT